TGTGGTGCCATGCTTCCTGCTTCTTTGTCCCGCTTCAAGTTATTAACTGGTTAAAATAGTACTGTAATTGTCTGTCATTGAATCTATAAAGCTTTGTATCATGCCAGCCTCAGAGAGAGAGATTAGTGTTTGGTGATGTTATATGGTGGGATCTGCAACTAGTTGAAGACTAAACCTTCTCAAATTTGTTGTGATTTATGTAAATATGCTCCCATATGTTATTAATGTAGTGCTTGAGAATAATTGGCAAATACTTAATTTTCTTAATGGGAGTAGTTTAACCAATGGGGACACAGATACTCTTATATCCCCAGACCTCGTGTTACATTTGATGAGATTTTAGAGAAGTCATGTGTAATACTTTCCTGAGGGTCGAGTCTGCTTATGTTACAGTTGTACAAGGTCAGACCTTAATTTATCTAGCAACTGCGTATTTAATTTTAGAAGTATCACAGGACACCTCAGCTTGCAGGGCACTGTTCCTGGCTGCTCAAAATTCAGGCCCCAGAGTAGCACTGGCAAGATAATGGGTTGAAATGGTGAGACTGTGCTGTGCTCGCCAATTAAACGAACAGAGAAATAGTTTAAAAACGTAATACTTCAGAGACTGAGGCCAAATTTAGATTGCTAGTAATTCTTTCATTGCTATGAATAACCTATGCATGCTATGCATGCCTAAGGGCCTTCTATTTATAGAATAAAGCTAAGATTGTCTAGTTTATTTTAAGGTTAAGAAATTAGAATAGCTCACTCTCGCATAACTTTATGTGTTTAAAAACAATAAATGCTTGATACACTTCTTTCCAAGGAAAGATACAACTTCCATGATCAGCAAGTAGTTCATATTTTTTCTAATGAGAAAGCAGTAATTTAGAGAGAAAAACATTTTTTCTAAATAGAACATCAAGGAGTAATATCTAGTGTTTCAGGTATGAATATAAAAAGTATCAGAAAAATATCAGGCTACTCAAAATGTTGTTTCAGGAAAATCTTCTTTGTAATATAAAAAACTACAACTCATTTAGAGTAAGGGTTTGCAATTGTTTCCAGTGATGTAGTGTGTGGGTCAGGCAGTTGAGAAACTGCCAAAGGTGAATGGAAGGAGATTTTCCTGCTGAGCTTTTTAGCTTTTTCATTGCAACATCACGTAAGGGGGCAGCGATGTTTCTGGGGCTGCTCAGTGTATCAGCCATGCTGTTTGTTCCCTGTGATCCCTGTGGAACATCCATGCTTGGCCAGCCCTTGTCAGCCCAGCACAGTGTATTACCAGCAGTGATACAGCAAATCAGGCTCTTGGAGCCCCTGTAGACCCTTGGCAGCGTGTCCAGCCTCACACTGACTCTGCCCTGTCACAGTTACTTGCTGCTAGCCAACTTTCTCACTTTACAATGTATGGATTTTTGTGGGATAAGATCATTTGAAAATAGTACACACAGCAATTCTGAAACACTGCTCATCTGAGCCCTTTCTGGTTAAGTTCATGTTCAAGAGCTTTATGATGCCTCTGGTGAAATCACTCAGGGAGTATAGCAAAGCAGGAGAAAGTTTTGGGTATGGAAACTGCGTAACCAGAGAAAATTTTCTGGAGTGGCCTCTAAGCTGGTTTATTCCTCTGATGTTTTGGAGAGAAAGGAGTCATAGAAAGGAAATACATTCTAATGAAAATAAAAGGATTTTATTACTAAAAAAACTATCTTACTTAGTGTTCTTAACTCTTCCTGGAAACACTGATGCTGAGAGCGTATTTATCATCTGGCAGGAGTAGACCATATGTAAACATTGCTAAAATGTCTTTTTAATATACTAAACTGACTTTTTTTCATAGATTTTGCAGTGTGAGGGTCTGATCTGAGGCCTGTGCAAATCTTCAGGAGCCTTTTCGGTTCAGGCTCTGGGATAAATATAATAAAATGGGCTGGAATATAATAATTCTCAACTTTCCTAAGGACAGCGATTTCAGTAAGGCTGGCAGAGCATGAAGGTCCCTCCATGTAGATCCATTAAGATGATCCTGATTCATTAAAAAAAGTTTTATCAATGGCATAAAATCTTCAAATGGAATGTTTTCACAATGAAAGGTGTGAAAAAAGGGAACATAACTTTTGTCTTAAAGCAGTTGTGGAGGAAATAGGATTATGAATGTTACATATTTTGCTTTAATAAATTATCTCACATAAATTAACTGTTTCATTAGGAGTACCTCTAAGCTGCCAATGAGATATTCATGTGCTCTAAAATGTACTTTCCTTTTAGCTGATGGCAGATTGAGGTTGCAGTTATGTTCATTGATATATACTTCTGAAACTGTTAGTCCAGGAGAGATTTTATCCTCGCTCCCTGAAAGGTTTGTGCGTGTTCATAACAAGAGTGTATTTGTGACTTAAATGATGGAAGCTGTAAGGTGCCATCAGAATTTGAGAAGTGTTAATGAAAATGAGAGGAAAAATGCATAAAAGAATCTTACCTCAGAATTCTTCTGCCTGTCAATGGAGTGTATTGCCCACAAGAGATGTGGGAGAGTAGTGCATGTGTCCACATAGTGATGAGCAGTTTGTCCCAATAACTTCTGTGTTAAATCTTCTTTTGGCCTGTTATGCTCAAACCTTGACTATGGACACAATAGGAAGGGACAGAGAAGAGAACCTTCAGAAAAGCTTGTCCTTTATGAACAACACAAAGGTCTGTTTTTCTAAGCCCCAAATGAAAATGTGTTTGTGAATATTCTTTTACTATTCTCGGACTACTTTTTATTGTGTTCAGAGATGGCACTCAAGACCCAAGTTGTATATTTTCTCCATCAGACAAAATGGAATTAACATAGAGATTTTTAACATCTTCCTTCAAATTTCTTGGCTTGCAGTTGAAAACCCAGGCCATGACTCCAGTACACATTGAAAGAGGTGAGAAACTGTGTTATGTGGGAGTCAGAATCCAAGAGACCTTTAGTTTCTGAGTCAATCTAAATGTAAGCCCTTACTAATTTAATTTTGGCTTGCAAGCTTTATCATAATGTACTAACTAGTAAGGTATTTGCGGATGGGATTATAATATTGGCTATGGTACTTTGAGTGACTTAGTGCTTACAAGAGCAATGCAGAAACTAGTCTGAAGAGAAAGTTGATTGACACTTCCCCTTGAACATAAGTTTCATAAGATTTCTTCCAAATAGCATTTCCAACGTTCCTTCTCTATTTGCCGGATGACTGGAACCATGATCCCTGACAAACATACAACAGGGACTTAATATAATTGTGTAATATTCGTGCAACATTTTAAGGATTATAAGTGTTCAGTGTGGTAGAAAGAGCACATGACTGCACAAACTGTGGAAGTAGTAGTTTAAAAATAAATAAAAAGATTCAACAGGACAAATGTGTTAAGGAACTGAGATTGAATCAAACAGAGAAACTATCAAATTCCAAAGCTTATTTGGAAAAACCTAGGTACAGCATATATTAACTCAAGGTGTTTTTCTTTCTGTGTGTTTTAAAACATATAAAGACTGCATTTTATAGTTCAAAAACCTGGAAGATGTTGTAAAGAGCAAAATTCCTGACCTTCCAGTTATAATGAGAATTTACTAGTAAGATGGTTGGTTGGTGTGATATCATGAGGAAAAACCGTAGTGAACATAAGCCACAGTTACAGTTGGTGATATGAACAGACTGAATTAAGTTGATGACTATAGTTAAAAGGTTTGACATACTCTGTTACTAATCCACTGAGCGTTTCAGTGACTCTCACACCTTGAAAATAATAGCTGGCATGGCTTGGCCATGGCCTGACCTTGTGTACCAAACTCATGTGAATGTCCATGAAACTTCATGACTGCAGAAATAGTGCAGAGAGTCCAAAGACCTTTTCCTTCTTTAATTGACTGTGCTTTGGCAGTATAAAGATAAAACAATATTTGTGAGTGTTTGGGGTCTGTTTTGGGGGTTTTAACATATTAAGGACCATTAAAAGAGATAATTATTGACATGAGATCATTTTATTGTATCACCTAGTGAGAACAACAGGAAAATTGTAACATTCATGAAGCAAGGTATCCTGGGGTGAAAACAGAACAAAACAAACAAACAAAAAACAAAACAAAAACCACACCCTAAAAGTAAATAAAATAGTCCCATTGCAAATCTGAGTTTTTGACATATGTTTTTTTCAACTGCATCACATTTATCTGTTCAGGTTTGTAAGGTCAAGTTTCTGGGCTTCAAGGACTTGTGAACCTGACATATACTTTGAAGGAAATTGATCAAAGACAGTGGTTTCCACTGCAGAAGGCTGCAGTTCAGCCAATTCCACAAGTATTTGAAGTCACTTTAGATGGCAGGAAAGGTTAAAATATCCCATAAGATAAGGAGAGCAACAAAGAAACATAGAATAATGAAGACACCAACAGGCTAGAACTATTAACTAAAACAAGTATGATCAAGTCCTCCATGGAGCATCTTGCTTATGTTGTTTAAATGTTCCAGCAAATTTTCTGGTTTTGGAAAAGTTGCATCAGTTTACAATAACAAATAAATTGGACCATTTTAAACATTTTGTTCAGAAGCTTACAGACAAAGCAAGAATTTCTATTCAGTTTTCTGTGTGTTTGGCAGTACTGGTTAGGTGAGCATAATTACAGATACTTTTAATAAAAACTTAACATTTAAGGGTTTCTGATATATGTGTATGTGTTAACAGCCTTGTGCTTTATTTTGTTGTATCTTTTTTCACTTTCTTACCTCTAGCACCTTATGAATCAGCATGACAATAAAAAACATGCAATGGAAAACAGCACTAACTTTGGCAGCAAAAACTGGCTTTGTGGAAAATGTGCAAATGATCCCGGGAAAGGGTGTTTATCCCAAGACCATAAGTTACAAGGAGAAAATTATTGGTCAGCAATGCAAGAAGCTGCAAAACAGAGATGCAAAGACATTTTTGATGTTCTGAAGAATGATGGAAATGTGAACATTAAGGACAAATATTGAGTGACACCATTAGGGGTTATGGCTGAATATGGTCACTGTGATGTGCTGGAGCATCTTAATCATAATGATAGGTATTCAAGAAAAGAGAAATTCACCTCTGCACTGGCATACATCTTGCCTGAGTGCTGAGATCTTTCAGGAAAAAAAGAGGAAATTAGCGGGAAGGAAAGGAAGCATATGTGAGTGTTTCTGCTGGACTGGAGTGATGCTTACATGTTTCTGTAATGCATGTGGGAGGAGTGGCAGAGTTGAAAGCAATCCCTTTCAGTCAAGGACAGATTGCTATACGTGCTCTTCTTGCCCTTCTGTGTTTCTCTTTACTTCACTCCATCCCTTCCTCACTCCTACTTTTCCTTTCATGTATAGAATTATATTGGTATTAATTAATGAAATATATTTGAAATATGTTGGTTTGAAAGTTCTCAGTTGTAATGCTTACAGTCAAAGCAGAGCCCACTCAGATGAACACTTGAACTTGTGTCTGTACACCTGTTATTTTGATTCTGAGCTTTGTATTTGCCGCAAAAAATATTCTGTGCTTTAGTAGAGCTTTAACTTAAATATATATCAAAATAAGGAGGAAAGTACTCTGGATTTGTTCTTATGATGCTCTGTAAATCACTTTGGATGTAAATATAAGTTCTGTTTCCTCCTTTGAGGTGGACATGTCAAGGCCTCAGCAGATGATTGTGTACCAGTATTGTTTCAAGCAGCTGGAGGACGTAGTCTAGACTGCATAGCTCTGCTTCTGAAATGTGAAGTGGCAGTGAGCCTGGTGAGGCAGGGCTGCTCCCCACACACAAAATGGCTTGTGAGGGCCTGTGGGGGCTTGTGAGTGGCTTCCTCACACCTGTGAGTACGAGCTTGGACTTTATATTTTTACTAAGAGACAATGTGACACAAGGTTACATCAAAGATGTTTGTAGTAAACTTGGCAAATGTATATTTATGTACATTTCTATTTTAGAAGTACCACTGTTCTATTAGATTTAACGAACTTTTCTTTTTAGCAGAAACTAAGCAAAATGCAAAACACGCTCCTTAGAATTAAGTGAAAACCACTGAAACAACTTAAACACATCTTATTTGACAGTGCTCAAAACTGGTGTTTCTATGTTTTAAACTTTTGTAAGAAGCCTAGGTGGTAACTAAGAACATAGATGGATGAGAGTTATTTTCTTCCTGTAAGGAAGTTACACCTGCCTAGTTTTGTTGACTGTTTTTAGGGCAGGAAGTATCTCATTGCAGCCACATCCCAATTTTAATCCAGGAAAGTGGGCCAAGCGCTGTTCATTCTGCTAGACAGCCAGAACCAGTGTCTAGAGCTTGTCATTGAAAATGGTTTGGATGTCAACACTCTCTTGTCTGAACACATAACTTCAAATACTTATGATGACAGAAGAGGGACTGCACTTTGTTGTGCTGTTTCTAATAATGAGACTCTTCACACCAAAATATTGCTCAAAGCAGAAGCAAATCCAAAAAATGATCCTTTAAACTATGTTCTCATAGCAGTGAGAGCTGACAGCCATGGAACTGTAAAACTACTCCTATCTTATGGAGCAGATGTCAACTGCTAATTTGGTTGCTTAATGATTCGCATTTCCCCAGTGCATTTGGTATTCTTTGAGTGGTGACATGATGCTGAGGCTGTTGCTCTGTCATGGATATAATGTGGAGATGTGTTTGGACTTTGTGTCAGGGTATCTTTGGAAATTCTTTTGTGTGGCCAGCTCCAGAGCTTGAGCCTATTCCCAGTTGGACTACTTCTTCAATAAACAATAAACTAATAAAAACATACATTCCTTGCTTCTCTTCACTTGGCTCTTTTTGTTAGCCAGATTGAAACACTCTGGTTTATAGTGTTGAATTAAGATTAACATACTGTCAAAATCATTTTTTGAAAACACTCTAAAAATATAATAGCCATTTCTCATTTTCCTCTATGAGGTAGAGAAAATTATGGTGCTGATGTGGTTTTATTATTTATTTATATTAATATATCAGAGATTTAGAAAGGAAATCTAAGAAATCATGAGGAAGAATTCTGGAATTTCTGTTCCTTTCCTAGCTAGTGCAGTAGATGTGTTTCCAAAGAAATATTTCTGTTGAACAAAACAGTGCCACAGATTACAGGATTTTTTTTGCCTTCAAGCCTGTTTGCATAAAATAAGGGTTCACAAAGGCTAAATATGGAAGAAAACAGCTTTTAAAGTAACCTACCTAGGTATTAATTTGACTGTTGAAGGCCATTTCTAGGACTTTGTTTAAATTAACTTCTGTAATTACTTTAAAATGTGTTCTTTGGCATTTCTCTGCACAGATTTAGAAATTATGGCTTGATGTGTTCTCTGTTTCAGTTCTGTGAGTTTATTGCTGTTCTGTGATTGAGACATTTAGCTGGAAAAGTGGCTTGTGTTTTTTATAATTACACAGATTATGTGCCTCTAAGCACAAGAATTCATTTTTTCATAGAAACACAGTAAAAATGAACAAAGATACCACAGACTGGATAAATATCTAACTTCCAGTTAATAATAATGTTAAGAGTTATTATAGGAAATTTTAATTGCTTATGTCAGGTCACAATCATCCAAAGAGTTGTAGCATGCTTTGTACATTAAAGATCATGGTTCTATGTAAAAGTCTTCAAACATCTAAATTATTATTTTTAGGTATTTTTGCAAAGTGTTTGGTCCAGGTACAGCTTTGGTGTATACATGTATCAAGGCTTGGCAAAATTTAAGGGACTTTAGGTAAGTTCTTTTAAACAAACAGTAGATTTTGATGGGCAAACCAGGAAATCAAGCAGCCTATCCCCTTGGTTAAGAAATATTGTAACTTTAATTTTGGTTTCTTCAGAGTTTTGGCAGATCAGTTCTTGAACGGACTCACCCTCAGTCATGCTTTCATGCACTGCACAGTATGTTTCTGCACATTTAGAGAAAAAAAATCTGACAGAATAAATTTAAAGATATTTAATTAAAAATTATTTGCAGTTACTCCCTTTGTTTTTCTAGCATCTGTTCCATCTTGAGGAAAGAAAAAAATGCAGACCCTCCCAACTAAGAAGATATTTCAATTGGTGGATATCACGATTACACAGGGCATAATCCATTTAGCTAAACCCACAGTTATCAAATTATTGTGTTGGAAAGGACCTTAAAAATCATTTAGTTCCAACCCCCCTACCATGGGTGGGGACACTTTCCATTACAGCAAGTTTCTCAAAGCCATCTGCAACTTGGCCTTGAACACTTCCAGGGATGGGGCAGCCACAACAACTCTGGGCATCCTGTTATTTGAGAGATATGCTGGTTATCACACACACACACGTATTCACAGAACCCACAACTCAGCTCCAGGATGCTTCTGCCCTGCCCCCAGAACTCACTTTCCATGTTGTTCAGAATTTCTCCTTACTTGCTGAATGTCATTGTCACATAAGCCCTAACTTCTGAGTCAGACGTGTAAATTCCACATCCCAAGGCAGCTAGATTGGTCCTTTGTGTGTCCTTCTTCATGACAGATTCACTGGAGCAAATGGAAGAAGTGAAGATTACTGGTCTGGGACACAAAGAAGGTTTAACAGAAGGCTTAATTCATCCTTCTGCTCTCCGTGGGGCTACTATTCATGTAGATTTCTGAGACACAACTTCTGGGGGTTTTGCCAGGAATTTTGACCAAGATGAAAAATATTAATTTAATCACTTCTGAAAAAATTTCTAGTATCTGGTATCTGAGCCAGGCCCCTGACAGAAGGATGCCACAGGTGACTGGTGACTGCAGGCATGGCCTGAGCACAGAGTGCTCAGTGAACCCCACACAGCTCCAAGTCAAGGCTCCACTGGCCAATACCTCCTGGACATAACAGGATAAATACATGTATGCTTCCTAACCTATAAACTGATACTTCTTTGTGGGAATTCTTAATCAGAAATATGGGACTAATCATAATAAATCCTAAATTGTGGTAATTTTAATTAATACAGTGACCACAACACAAGAATCTGAGTAATCACATATCTGATACAGTATACTGCTATCAGCAAAGGAAACATGATCAAATAAGGCTTTAGATAGGAGATTTTAAACCCTTTCTGTGGCTAGAGCCAAATTCCATTAGTAATTTTAGTTCACAGGCAAAGGTTTATATTTAGGACTTCATACAAGCATCAGGCAGTAGTTACATTGCCTGCAGCATCAAAGCATTCAGATGTAGCACTGAGCATTGCCCCAAGTGTTTAAAATACTATGAACTAGTCCTTTGAATTTCACTAGGTAAGCTAAAAAGACATGGTACTGGTTGTGTTTACCTTTTAATCAGTAGAGCCAGGCCCTTTTTTTCTTTGTTTGCAAATAGGAGGTGGAGTGATATTGGTTTAAAGCTTTTCTGTCCTTCCCCATTGAAGTTGTTTATTTGTTAAAGGCTTCTGCCCACTCTTGCTTCCCTTCCTTCCCACTCCTATCCTCCTCCTCTAAAGCAATACAGCATTATGAGAAAGTGTCTTTTATATTTTCAAGGCATCTGTGAACTGAATGGAGGGAAAAGCAAAACTTTATTTTAAATGAAATATAAGGTGAGATACTCATGGAGCTGTTTTCCCCATGACAGGTTTATGGCACAGCTAGAAATTGAACACAACTCTTTCAACTACCCTATTTTGCAGCCAGACCATTTGATGCTGCTTTTATGGATTGACTACATGGTGGAAGGACCAGGAAATGTAACTGGGCCAGAGCTGGTGGTTGTGTGAAAAGACACAAAGGCTTCGTTCCCAGCTGGAAGAATAAATTGGTCGGAAAAAACCTTTTTATTTTCCCTACTTGGACTGTGATTGAACCCTTGCAACACTAGCATTTAATTTTCTTGACTATTTGGGTGTGTCCCACAGGCTGTTCAACTGCAACCCAATTCCATGGCATGCCCACCCCCAGGCAGTGTTGTCTACAAGTAATTAAATGCCCTGGCACTGAATCAGGCATGCTGTGGGATAGGGCCTCCTATCGATTTGGGGACGATGTTTGAAATCAGAGGTATAATTTGGTTCCTATTTCTTATAAAATCTGACACAAGCAGCTGCACCAGGCTGTGAGCTCTCCAAGGAGCCAGACATTCAGCAGTGGTTACATCAGCCTTTAGCCTTTTCAGCACCCATGGGATGGAGTTTGTAGCTGTGAGTGTTTTCAGAGCTCAGTGCAGGAGGAAGAAAACCATAGCCACAAGTCCTGTATATGACGAGCTGTTCCCTGTAGAAGCCATAATGGTGTGTGTGGGACATCCATAAAGCTCTGTGCACTGGCTACCATCTAATTTTGGGAGCTGGCATGGCAGAGCTGGTTCTGGGTATCAAGGCTGGGGTGAGGCTGAGGTGGGAGGTGAGCAGCAATTTTACTGCAGCAGTCTGTGTTCTGGCATGGGCTCCAAGTGCCTGAGCTGCCCTTTCCCAGACTATTGCCATCAGTACACGAGTCACACATGGAAAAACACTGTCACAAAGTCACAGGCTCTTTTGTGTCTACCTTGGGGTAAGGTAAAGGCATTTTTTGGGACCCTTACTTGGGGCAGGAAAAAAACCCTACTAAAATATCCATGGTTTGGCTATGGCTTGCATGGATATGAATTTGCTTTTACTTATCTGTGTAGAACAGGTTTCATATCTTTTGTTTTTCCATCATTTCCAGGGTCTGGAACATAAGTCTTATGAGGAATGGCTGAGGGAGCTGAGGTTCTCCTGAAAAGCTACAAAAATATATTAGTGAATGGTTAGTAGTCATAAGAATGATATAACAATGTAGCTCTGGTGACATGTTCAATGTATTTTCATTTAATTTTCAAAATTCAAATTTTCAGTAGAAATCTCTACATCTAATTGGGCAAACACATTGCTATTTGTCCACATTTACTATGCATGGTAGATATTTGCAGAACTTCTGTAATCATTAATATGGACTGACAAAAAATAAAAACAAACCCCCAACATAATCAAAGACAATAGAGAATTTACCTGGTTAGTACTGCTGCTTGTGTTTAATTCTCTGTGAAGTATATAACTTCTTTATATTGCTGGCATCTTTTTAAAAAATCTTCATAAACACACACTGTTAAAAAAAGTGACAAAGGATGCTAAATATAGTAACTACCTGTTTTGCTCTCTTGTGTATAAAGAAATAGAGTAATTTTTTTAACTGAATTACAAACCATAGTTTTGGCTAAGTTACTTGGGAGAATTATCTGTCAAGTATTAACAAAGGATGAAATCCATGCAGTTTTCATAATCACTTATAATTTAATAACTTCATACAGACATGCATATTACAGTGTACTTGCAAACACCACCATAAATAATACAGTTCTTACATTGGTAATTTTTACCTATTTTATTATGCTTCATTTTAAAAAAAGTAATAGACTAACTGCATCCCACTGAAATTATCCTTCCAAACCCCACATTTTTTGTGCATACAGCAGTTCCTCTGTTACTTTCTTTGCAATACAGTGGCCTCTACTTCCTTTCCAAACCTGTTGAGCAATATTGCGATGTAATTCCAAACAGCTGCTGTGGTCACCCTATGTCTGTACATCAGTAGCAAGTGAAACGATTTCTATATATAGTTTGTAAATCTGTTGGCAATGTTTGTAAAGCAGACTCAGATTCTTCCTGGGGAATAAGAGCAGCTCTGAGAAAGCAAGAGCATTATCCCGTCCTTGCGTACAAATCAGTTTATCTATTTGGTGTGGAGAAATGAGGAAATGGCCAGTCTGCAGAGACATGAAAAAGCACTTGCTTTGGGCAAAACCCTGGCAGGAATAGTTTGTGCTGTCAAAGATAAGCA